TATTAATTAATTAAATAATGCATGACATCATTGGTATTACATTGTTTGTAATAAATGTTGCTTCCTCAGGTTGATCCGAGGAAGAGGAAGAGCGTTGAGAAGGCTCTACGACAGTTCGGACATCTCATCATGAACAAAACCTTCTTGCTGTTGTTCATCGGTACGCTAGAATCGAACAAGTATTTCAGCATGAAGGACAGAGTCAACGTTGCCTCTCTCATCATGGTTGCACTGCAGAGCAAGATGGAGTACTGCACCGAGTAAGCAGCGGACGATGCATGCGTGCACTCACTCACTGACACGTCTCTGTCTGTACACACAAAGTTCGATTCTTCGAAGCTTTATTCTCTTATTCTTCTTCGACAGTTGACAAAGTGGTTGGCATTCACGGGAGGGTTCTGTATACAGTGTAAGATGTCTGACAAAGACGAAGTATTATTGCTGTTGTTTCCTGATGGTGTCTCTATCTGATACGTCTCTGTTTGTACACACTTCGGCATAAAGTTCCGATTCCTCGGGATTATTTGCTTATTCTGCTTCGACGTTAGATGTCGAGTGGTTGGCATTCGCGAGAGTCTTCTGTACGACGTTAGATCTGTAGCAAAAACTTAAAAACTAACTTAAAAAATTATCTTATTCTTCTTCGACGTTATTCGTGATTGGTTGGAATTTACGTGAGTGGGAAATTTACGTATACAAAGTAAGATTATGTGGCAAAAACTAGGTATTGTTGCTAAGTATTATTGCTGTTGTTCACAATGGTGTGTATTCTGCTACTGTTATGTTCTTTCAGCATTCTGAAGACTCTGCTAGCTGACCTGATAGAGAAATCTATTGTAGGCAACAGCCACCCTAAACTACTACTACGCAGGTTAGTATTACCTTGTACTAGTCACATGTACAAAAGAGAGTTAATAGAAGTTTTCTGAATAAGTTCACCACTGTAAACAAATATCTGACAGGGTTCTATACGTACACGAGTTCGGTTAAGATGGGAAACCATTATCAGATGATGTTGATTGGTACAATATGTATAAAAACATAAAAAGAGAATCTTGCTATGTTGATGTGTACGGTGTCACTAGTCACAACCAATATAAATAATAAATGGAACTAAAAGTACTAAATGTTATAAAATTAGAATGTCTGATGTAAATTAAAATTACATATGTGCATATATTATGTATAACAAGGTGACATTAATCCTGCTGTGTGGATGTCTATTGGTGATTGAAGGTTTGATTATGAATTTCAGGACAGAGTCGGTGGCAGAGAAGATGCTCACGGCTTGGTTCACATTCCTACTCTATAGATTCCTTAGGGTAAGTCTCTATAACCACTCAACGCAAGCTAGACTATTCGGAACAAGCCTGCGACAGCGCTAACCACCTTGCCAATGATAGAATTTGTTGCTCTAGAATACACGTTGAAGATAATTTTACAATTCGTCACTATCTCTGAGGCAAGTACTACTCACGATTGCCGAGTGTGTCTAACTTCCTCCGTGTGTCGATCACACTTGCTAAGCGTTGGCGTGTGTTTGTCTGTAGGAGTGCGCAGGAGAGCCACTGTTCCTCCTCTACATGGCCATCCAACAGCAGATAGAGAAGGGTCCGGTGGACGCTGTCACGAACGAAGCCAAGTACTCTCTCAGCGAGGAGAAGCTGATTCGCCAACAAATAGATTACAGACAGATGGTAAGGACTGTTACATACGTGGAGAGGTTCCTCTCAGGAGAAGGTCAGGCCGTCGGCTGATTTATTCTTTCTATTTTATTTTCTGTAGGATGAAAGGTGGTTTTTTGAGACGTGTTCGAGAGAAAGAATTCAAAGCTACTCATTATCTCTACTCATTACTCAATTACTACAAGCTGCAAAATGACGCTATACATCTAGCAAATACACTAACGCTATGGGGTAAACGTGGTGAACAGTAGCACCCCACGACTCACACGATTGCATCTCGTTTCAGACCGTGTACGTGTCTGGGTTGGATCCAAGCAACGAAAACCAGGAAACGCCAGTGAAAGTTTTAAACTGTGATACGATATCAGAAGTAAAGGAGAAGGCGTTGAATGCCATCTACAAGAGCACTCCCTATTCCCTGCGACCCACAAAGAACGACCTTGACCTAGGTGAGCTTGACCTTGAGTGTATCGTCGACACTGCTGCCGAAACGACGGTCCTATTTACTTGCCCCAGGCTCTGTGATTCTCATATTGCATTAGTGTGATATAACATCTATTAAGGGTGGGAGAGAATCTACTTTATTAGAACAGTAATGCTGATGCAGGCCTTGACGATATTCTTTCTTTATCTCTCTCTCTCTCTCACACACACACACACTCCCTCTCTTTCTTCCTCTCTCTCTCTCTCTCTCTCTCTCCCCCTCTTTCCTCTCTCTTTCCCTCTTCTCTCCCGCTCCCTCTCCACCTATCTCTCCCGCTTCCACTTTCTCTTCCTATCTCTCTCTTCCTCATTCCTCTCTCTTTCTCTCTAGCCCTCTCCCCCTTCTCTCTCTCTCCCCCTTCTCTCTCTCTCCCCCTTCTCTCCCTCTCCGATCGAAGTGAAGGTTAGGGTTAGGGTTAGGGTTAGGGTTAGGGTCTAGACATCGATATCATAGGTGATCTTACGCGTGTGTTGTGTGCAATCGTTTCACAGAGTGGCGGACGGGCGTGTCTGGGAGACTAGTCTTACAGGATGATGACATTTCCACCAAACCAGAAGGCGAGTGGAAAAGACTCAACACTCTTGCTCACTACAAGGTAAGCACTCGCTCTGTACCTTACGTACGCAGGGTTCGTAGCGGGTCTTCCAAAGTCATATAAGTACTTATTTTGCCAAAAATAAAATAAGGGCCCTTATTGAAGCTACTATTTTTTGGGGTGACATTCTTTAGAGAAGTATATAATAGTCCTTATTTTTTAGCCAAAGGACCAATTGTTTATATAAACTGTTCTCGACTTAGCAGAAGAAATTGTTGTAGTATATATAATCGTCGAATAATTAAATCTGCTTGTGCTGCAATTGTGGATTAAATATTTAATATTAGTGTACTTTAATAGTCGCCGCTAAAAAGTCTATTATTGGCCTCCAGAAAGGTTCTTATAAGTCCTTATTTTCATGTGTTCTTATCTACTACTGAACACCTGGGTACGTGCACACACATACTGACACACACACACAACACACACACACATTACTGACACACACACGCACAACACACATCACACACACACACACACACACACACACGCACACCACAACACAGCACAGGCTTCAGTACTCGTCATCGCATGTTCGAGCGTATACTGCAGGAGGGTTCTGTGAAGTCGTCGCTGATTGCTGCTTGTTGTGTGCGTTACAGGTGCCTGACGGAGCGTCTCTAGCGCTGGTGCCAAAACAGTCCTCTATCTTCAACTTGTCGATGAGTCTGTTGTCAGACCGGTCCGATCACTCCCACCGACATGGAGGTGAGGGAGAGAGAAGGGGGAGAGGAAGAGAAGGGGTAGAGGAAGAGAAGGAGAGAGGGAGAAAATGGAGAGAACGAGTATGGGGAGAGGGAGAGGAAAAGAGATAGGGAGGAGGGGGAGTGGGAAAGAAGGGTAGAGGAAGAGAAGGGGGAAGAAGAGAATGGATGAGGAAGAGAATGGGGAGAGGGAGAGAAGAGGGAGGAGGGAGAGAGACCTACTACTATGATTATGTGTTGAGAGTGTGAAAAATACAGTCAGGTAATTTACAGATTGCATTGTTTTCTACAGCATACCTGGCAGAGAATTCGTCTGTGCACACAGCAAGTCAGCCATTGAGTCGTGCCATGTCCCCCATGGACCACCATCACACCTTGGAGTCTGGGATCAAGTACTGGCATCTCGTACGTAACATGTCTTGTACAACACACGCGCGCGCGCGCGTCGTAATGGAAGTGAAGAGAATTCTTGCCGATGTTGGAGTAATAGTTATCTGTAGTACGTACGGTGAGGAAACATGATATTCGTCACTACCTCTGAGGCAAGGCTGCATGACTAGTCACACCACTACTGACATCCTCTGTCGTTATTGTATTTCTCACTCTGTGCGATTCTGTGCAGATAAAGCCGATGGATTCGAACAATGAGCGTGAGGGAGAGCGCTCCAGCAAGCTAGTATCAGAGATCTACCTAACCAGGCTACTCGCTACCAAGGTAAGGTGCTCATAGGACTTATATTACTCAGTGTGTGTGCTCATCAGCATCGTATAATATATATATATATATATATATATATATATCGTAATCCGTATTGGCAGTTCAAAGTACTATTTAGTCACAGTTAAACGATGAAAATGTTACTTAACTAAAAAGAGACTAATCGATTGTTCATTTCGTACTGTCACTGACTGTCACGCAAAAAATGACATTTTTAACGGTGATATATTTCGACGTAATAAAAATCCACGGTATCCATACATCGCACGAAGGTAAGGCGCTATCTAGCATGGCTGTAGTTAATCGTTGCCGTCCTCACCCTCGCACGTAGGGAACGCTCCAGAAGTTTGTCGACGACTTGTTTGAGACGATATTCAGCACGCACCAGCGCGGCAACGCTCTGCCGCTCGCCATCAAGTACATGTTTGACTTCCTGGACGACCAGGCCTTGTTGCACGGCATCACGGACCCGGAGGTTGTCCACACCTGGAAGAGCAACAGGTACGACCATCGCCAACGCGTGTCCCAGTCGGTCGCGCGGCGACGGAAGCGGGGATTGTCGGAACGCGACCTTGAAAGGACGGTGTTTTCTCACGGCCGTGACGAAACTTGCGTGCGTGTGTGCGTGTGTGTGCGTGCGTGTGTGTATGTGTGTGCGTGCGTGCGTGTGCGTGCGTGCGTTTGTATAACATCGTCGCTCATCCTGCCTCTTTCTCTCTCGCACGCGTTTCAGCCTGCCGCTGCGCTTCTGGGTAAACCTCATCAAGAACCCCAACTTTGTGTTCGACATCCACAAGTCGACGATCCAGGACGCATGTCTGTCGGTTATCGCTCAGACCTTCATGGACGCTTGCTCAACGTCTGAGCACAGACTGGGCAAGGACTCGCCTGCCAGCAAGCTGCTCTACGCCAAGGACATACCCACCTACAAGGAGTGGGTTGAGAAGTACGTGGTAGAAGGGGTGGGTAGAGAGAGAGGGGTGGGTAGAGAGAGGAGTGGGTAGAGAGAGGGGTGGGTAGAGAGAGGGGTGGGTAGAGAGAGGG